TCGCGGAAAACTTCTCGAGGCGATCCGATGCTGGATTGCTGCGGATACACAGTGCATGATACAATTTTGACATGGTGTACTTTTATTGGCCTCTTCTGGCATTGCCGGAAGCCTTCCAAAAAAGACATGCTCGGGCCATGGGTGTGTCTCCTGGAATCTGGTAGGGGGGTCCTGAGCCTTTTGGGGGTCCGTGGGCTGTGCGGGGCTGATCTTTCGCAGATGGCGCCTGTCTTGGGGCGATGTCGGGCCTGTTTGCAGCCGCGCGGATGCTCAAACCGGCTCTTCAAGACAAAACAGGCAGGCGATATTTCCTGGATACTCGTGGTCCCATGCGGGGGGGGTGAGCTGGGGAACCCACGGGAACCCTGCCAGACAATTAGCGAGCTATTCAACACGCCACGACGCGCCGAAGGCGCGCTCGCGGAATTTCAGCAGGGAGCGGTTCTTCCTGACGTTTGACCAGCAGAATTCGCACTAGGTGCCCATTCGGGCATTCGCACTCCCGCCTGTTGGAATTGCGCCCTCGAAGATCTCGGCATTCCATTGCGTAAGGCCCGCCCGTCGATCCGAGGTTGCCTTGGAATTCCCTGTGCGAGCCGTGGAGGGATCGGGCCCCCCCCCCTCAAAGTTGCTGTTGGGTGGCGCATCCACCGATGCAGCCGCAAGTTTCCGCGGGTGGGGTAGCAATGTCATCTAACCTCAGCAGTTGGTTTCACTTGCCCCGCTCCAGGCCCCGCGAGCCAGATCCTTTAGCTTAATCCCTGTCGTCGCGATCGCCCCGAAACTTCTCCTTCAACTTCTCCTCCCCCACTCCCCACGCCCTCATGGCATTCTCGGCTCAAGCTTCGGGTGCACGTCCGGGGCTACGGAAACGCAGCACGATATCCCACAGAGCACCAATACATCAAACAATGGCTCAGCCGGCGGGCTCCGATGCGGGACCGTCGTCAGCGAAGAAGCGGAAGATGAGCCAGACTGAGCAGAACCAAATCTTCGACAAGATCGTGACCTCTCAGTTCGATGACAACATGGAGCTCCTTCGCAAGAAACTTGAGCACAAGAAAGGCTTGCTCACATTCCTCATTGGGCTGATCGACTCGGGCAAACTTGAGGAAGCATACGACCGCGCACACCAGGACACAGGAGAGGTCCGGCCAGCAACGTTTGCCCAGGGTTACAAGTACATGAAGCAGGCGGGCTCGATATGGATCCGGGACTTTCTGGGGCAGATGAACCCGACGTACAAGATCCCTGACGGTCTGACCGAGGCCGAGAAGAAGGCACGGAGGCTGTCTTTGCCTGACTACATTCATCGCATGTGCCTGGCGCTTCGCATCCACCCCGATTGCTGGCTCTTCCACATGCAACAGGAAACGACGACGCAGACGGCGGTCCAGCGCTGCCGCAACCTGAACAACCCCATCGAGACGGTGTCGCCAACGGACAGCTTGGACAAGAAGGGCTTTTACACGGCCAGCGACGACAATGCGAAGGTGCTCGCTCTTGGTATGGGGCCGTTGCCGCAGGAGCAGCACGAGCGCAATGGCAGCCCTTACATGTGGGTCCCCCCTCCGTCCGCAGAGGACGTCGAGTGGAAGTTCAAGGATAACTGGAATTCTCAAGCTACCATCATGCATCCAAATGGCGACGCTTTCCAGCTGAAGACCCGCTTCCAGTCGAAGTACCCCGTCCTCTTCACGGAGGCGGCGTGCACGCTTGCCATGTCCATCGAGGCGGATGGGGAGTCGCCACACCCGTCGCTTGGCGACGTCCGCCGCGCGTCCGTGGGCGGCAAAGGCAAACGTGGCAAGGGCAAGGGGGTTTCGAAGGGCGCGGCACCCGCGGCGCCCGCTCCGCCTGCGGCGCCTGCCGCTGCACCCGCGGCGCCGCCCGTTCCGCCGCCTGGCGGCGCTGGCGGAGGCGCCGCGGCGGCTCCGCCCGCAGAGGAAGAGGATGATGAGTGATGAGTGTGGTTCCTGGGTGATTGCACGCGGCGCGGCTGCCTTGCAGAGGCGGGTGCAGCGTATTCCAAACGATGCCAGGCGCTTGGAATAACAGGCGCGCTTTTGAGCGATTGCCACTCGTGAGCTGTAGACCCAAGTTGTGCGCGTCTGTCCGCCTGCTGGTCAAGCCCGTCCGTGTATCCAGGGGGCAGGTGACTCATCTTGCTCCTCTTGCGCAGGGATGGTGCCCAAATGATCCTTTTCGAGAAGCCCTGGTGTGCAATTCCTATTCAGAGGGGTGTTTTTTTTTTCCTTCCTCTCGCTCCTCCCCCCCACCCCTCTTTCTGTAAACTTTTACCTCCGTCTGCGCGTCGCCGCATCGAATTCGCAAGCGACCGAAACTTTTCGAGTGCCGCCCCTTTCATTCCCGGGGGGGGGGGCCACGGGGGGCGGCCCGAGGGCGAGCGGGGCAGCAAACTGGGAGGCGACGGGGGCCTGTGTATTGCGCGGCGGTGCCAGGACGACGGGGAGGTGGGCTGGGGGGAGATGCGCGTGAGGGAGAGGAGCGGGGGGTGGGAATTGTTGACGCTTCGCCTATCCCCACCAGCCCATCCAGAAACGACGCCCAGGCGAGTTGAGGTGCCCAGGGAAGTGTGGGAGCAAAGATGGAGAAAGCCGAGCCGAGCCAAGGAGGGACGTCTCCCCCTCCCTACGTCGCTCCCCCTCCCCGCCGCCCGCGCACCCGTTATGTCATCGATATTGGCTCCTGGGGCTGAGCACACGCAGAAAATGTTGCAAAACACAATACGAAACGCCAACATTGAGGTGGGAAGATGTTTGCCCAACGTGGTACATTTCTCCCCCACTTTATGTTTGGCGTTTCGCATTGTATTTTTACAATGCATTCTGCGCGTGGCGCCTGGAGGGCTCCAGAATGCATTCTGCGCCCTCCCAAAAACCTCAAGGAGAGCAACAAGAGGGCCGCAAAGTGGCTCCAAGGGGGCCCCTAGAGTGTTCCACGACGGCCGAAAAAGATATTCAGATGGCCATGGCCATCTGAATATCTCTTGGGCCCCTTTTTGGGGCCCTCCGGGGGCGCGGTGGGCCCTCCCAAGAGGCTCCAGGAACGCCCCAAGAGGGCCGCCAAGTGGCCCCAAGCAGGCCGCCAGAGGGCTCCAAGACGGCCGAAAAAGATATTCAGATGTCCATGGCCATCTGAATATCTCTTGGGCGCTTTTTTGAGGCCCTCCGGAGGCTCGGTGGGCCCTCCCAAGAGGCTCCAGGAGCGGCCCAAGAGGGCCGCCAAGTGGCTCCAAGGGGGCCCCCAGAGGGCTCCAAGACGGCCGAAAAAAATATTCAGATGTCCATGGCCATCTGAATATCTCTTGGGCCCCTTTTTGAAGCCTTCTGGGGGCTCCGTGGACCCTCCCATGAATCTCCAGGAGGGCCCCAAGAGGGCCGCCAAGTAGCTCTGCTAATCGCCCCCCTCGCCGCAATTGCCTGGTGCGCGTGCTGATCCCCTTCCTCCTCCTCCCCTCCTCCTCCTCCTCCTCCTCCTCCATCCTCCTCCTCCTCCTCCTCCATCCTCCTCCTCTTCCAAGTGGGCCCCGTCTCATCCTGGTTATCCGCTACGTCCTGCTATGATGCCCCGCCCCTCTGGTTAGAACCCGCGTCGCCGCTGTAGTTCTAACAAGGAGAAGGAAGAAATGCCGGAGGCTTGTTTTGTGCACGAATAAACCCACAAACTGGCTCAAGTGCATGCTGGCTCAAGTGGCTCAAGGCTCAAGTTGCCACTTCCGAGGGTTAAAACTGAGGCCTCAGTTTTAACCCTCAAGCGGACCAGGTCACCGAAGGCCCCCGACCAGGAGCCCTGCCAAGGGTGGGGTGCCGTCCTAGTGTTTCTCTACACCAGTTGCACTCCCGACCTTCCCTCTGCCATGGCGCCGTGCCAGGTTTGCCTCCGTCAATTTGGAAAGGAACGCTACAGCAGGAGTGCAACTGCAGCAGCCACTAGTTGGAGACAGCCGCCAAGACCGACCCTCAAGGCAGCTTTAAAGCTGCGCGCGCACGGCGCCGTGGACTCTTCCACCGCCTCGCGCGCGAATGCAACATGAATTTCGAAAGAAACGCTACCGCAGGCGTGCCACTACCGCAGCCACTAGTTGGAGACAGCAGCCATTCTTCATCAGGGAGGGGGAGGAGAGGGGAGAGGGAGCGGGAAGGGGGGCCACTGACGCCAGACCACAGCGCGAAAGAGAAAAGTAAAAGGAAAGCGGAGGCAAGAACCTCCCATGCCCGCCCCGCGCACGAAGAAACGCTGCAAGCGCAAAAAGAGCGGAGCCCTCTTGGAGCCCCAAAAGGGCTCTAAGAGGGCCAAGAAGAAGCGGCTCCACCGACCCCTAGGGGCAAACATTATGTTAACACGCTGCGGCCTGAGCACTGTTCTCCTAAGCACTGGCGGGACCTAGGGGCAAACATTATTTTAACACGCATTGTTCTCCTGGCGGGAAGTAGGGGCAAACATAATGTTAACAACCTAGGGGCAAACATTATGTTAACAGGCATTGTTCTCCTAAGCACTGGCGGAACCTGGGGCGCACATTATGTTAACACGCTGCGGCTTGATATGTTCATCTTGCCGGGACTGCGCGGTGGCCCTGGGCTGGTCTTGGGCTTCGCCCCGTCGGTCCGTGGCTTCCAGAGGGGGTCACTTGAAGACGAGAGTTGGGCCAAATTTGTTTCTCAGGTGACCCCTGGTTTCCCCTTCCCAGAGCGTCCCTCCGAGCCCTCCGTCCCCGGAGGCGTTGTGCACAAAGCATGCCGAAGTCGAATTCCGCGGTTGGTGCGTTCTCTTCTGCCGTAGGTCACTTCAGAGCTGCCTCGGTCGATCGGCCGCCGTCCGAGGCGCCTTTGAGGTGCCTGTGGCGTTCTCCCGTGGGCCGCGATCGAGGGGCGCGGGGTAGGGGGAACAGAAGGAGCACGGGGAGATATAGTAGGGCCGCAGATGAAAGCACCCCGTCAAACAGACATTCGCAATCCACACCCCAACCACTCTGGCTCGAATCCAAATTCAAGTGACGCTGAGAGCAGCCTGCGCCATCCCCCCCCACTCGGACCTCTTAGCATGGAGGTCCCTCACGTGGGCCTCGTTCGCCTGACTGTCGGCGGCGCTTCCGGGCAATGCTTGGAGCACACGGGGACTGGTGAGATCGTCAGGCTACCTGACGACATGGGCCCAGATTGTGCACTTGCCTTCTCAGGTGATGGTTTCGCTTACTTGACGCTGCCGCACCGTAGGAACGACCGAGTGGGCGAGATGGCATCCGACGGTGTTTCTTTCGTTGTGTGGGCAAATAATATTTTCACTCGGACCTATCACAAAACCGACTCAGGCAAACCTTTCGTGAAGAAAGAAGATGGCGCCGCCGTGTGGTGCAAAAAATTTTCCGAGGAGTCTTCGTCATCAGGTTTTGAACATACCAGAGGCACAAACAAGACCATCCACATTCAGGTTTGGCTCTACACTCTGCCAGTCGCTGGTTGTTTCATGTTTTGGTCTCTGCCCTGCCTGGTCCTGGCAATGCTGGGGAGGTACAGTTGGCCATTATTGAAAAAAAGAGTCGAAGCATGCAAGAGGATCGCGTTGCAGCTCGGCCTCGATGCATCGAGCTGCATGCCGAGCACCCGTTCATTGTTAGCTTCTGCGAGGAATGACATACGATGTGGTGGTGAGGGCAAGGTGAGGGCTCTCGACCTCACTCAAAGCAGCGACGACACCAAGCTTTCCACGACTCTCATGCTTTGGTTTCTCGTAAAGTCATTGGTCAGCAAGGGGAAGAGCGAGCCACAGGAGGCCGAGAACTCCAGACTTATCATGGAAACGTTCTTTGACAGGTATCTCGCGCACGACGGCGCTTTTTTCACCTACGGACCAGAGGCTGCGATTGGGGAGGCCGCTATTCCACCTCGACGGATCGTGGTGGCAGGCGGCGGCGTGGATGCGGGGGCCTTGACGATCCTTCTCGGCCACGGGTTGGCCGCGCAGTTTTTCAGACGCACTCCAACCGACGATCATAACAAGGCGCCTGCGTAAACCCAGCGAGCCGTAGCCGCAGCTCCGAAATCACAGAGTTTTTAGGTTTCGTGCTCGTTTTGGTCCGACAACCTTTTAAACGTGTTCGTGTCATGCTGCGCCTTGCCCTTCAAACCTCCATCTCGCGAGCTGCGTCTATCTAGCGGCCTCCAGCCCATCCCGCCGCCGCGCTTTGGTCATGGGCTAGGCGCATCCGAAGGAGGCCTGGGTACATGGGGGCACACCGTGGGTTAGGACTGATTGCGCGAGCACTGCGCCTCAAGGGTAATTGTTTGGGAAGCGTTACATTTTGCGCAAGAGATCTGACTTCAGTCGGGTCCAAGGGGGCCCAAGACGGCTCAAAGACGGCTGGAGGCGGCCCAGGGCGGTTCAAGAGAGTTCCAAGAGGCCCTCAAGAAAGCCCCTAAAGGTCTCAAGAGGCTCCCGAGAGAGCCCCACGAGGGCTACAGGAGGTCCCAAAGAGAACCCCACAAAGCCCCAAGATGGCGCCAGGACGGCCCACGCCATCCCAGACGGCCCACAGGGCCCTAGGACGGTCCAAGGAGGGCCCAAAGACGGCCCAAAAGAGCCCCAGGAGGGTCCCCAAGAAGGCACTCGCAGGCCACATGTTTTTTCCCGTCTGCTTTGTTTGATTAGATTCGACGTGTACGCGTCAAAATCTTAACGCCCAGAAAGCTCCGAGACGCGATGCAAACGTTCTCGCGCCCTCGCAAAATACGAACGTTTTCTGTCCCCGTGCTTCCCACATATTCATCCTTTCAGGAGCCAAGGCTTCGCCAAATGGTACTGAGAGTCCCAGGGGGTATCCAGGCGCTCCATTCTGTGCAAGTCGCACGGTGGCGGATAGCACGTTGCACCCCAGGTGCCGCTTGTGTATCTGTTGCGTTTCCTGGGGAACCCTATCGGGAAGGACCCGTCGAGTGATGCCAAGATCAGCCTTGCCAAAGACATCATTTCCAGCCTCGCATGCGTCATGGAGTGTTCAAGGGTGGACGGAGACAATTGGCCGACTGAAAAGATATTGGAGTTGCCAGCCATAACCACGCCGACAGGGAAGAACCGCAAGACAACCAGACTCTACAAACTAGAGCTTTTAAAGAAAATGAAGCAACATCCAGCCCTGAAGACAGCCAAAGCAGCACTTGCTGGAATGAAGATCTGGGGTCGCAAAGGGAAAGGGCGTGAGACCGTCTCCCAGGCCACGCGGTGGGACTGGGATGTTTTCTTTGGTTACATGTCCAATGGGTGGTCCTTCATGCCGAACCGCGGGTCCCTTTGCATGCAGACCGACGGGGTGTGGCTCGCAGGTGAGGAGACAACTTATTGAATGCGCCTGCGGTGGACCACCGCCTCCCCCTGCCTTGTGGAAGCGCCTGTGTGGCCAAACGTTTGGGCCAGAGCTTGGCCATGCTTGACCTTCTTCGCGCCGTTGTAGACCGTCTTGGGTCCATCTTGGGCCGTCTTGGAAGCATTTCGGGGCCATTTTGGACGTCGTTGGGGCCGCGTGGGCCGGTGTGGAAGCGCTTAAGGATCGTATCGGAGGAGACCTTGGGCCATCGTAGCAGCCCTGGAAGCCATATAACGACTTCGAGCGCCCTTGGGGGGGCCCCGTGTGCCAGCCAGGATCGGGCGACATTTTTTCGGGAGCTTTTCAAAAATGCATCCGCGGACAAAGTTCGGAGCGCCAATAACCCCGCTTGCAGGCAACAAGGGGCGGTGGATCCTGTGGCCTTCGGCATCTCCCGCCAAGGTGTCCGGGTTGTGGGCCAAATCCTTCGTGGATGCCCCCTGGGGTCTCGGGGGGTGCCTCCTGGGGGCGACATTGGGGCCTCCTGGGGGCAGCTTATTGGCCTCTTGGGGGAATCTTGGGGGCCCCCTGGGGGCTCCAGGGGGGGTTCGGAGGGGCCCCGGGGACACGTTGGACGTATGGGAGGCCATCTTGAGGGGAGATGCCCCGCCAGCCACCTCGAGTTCCCCCTCTTTCTCCCCTCATGGGGTTCTCTTGGGGCCTCTTGCACCGCCTTTGGGCGTATCGGGTAATTCCGGGGCCGTTCTGGGCAGCCGAGGGTTTTCCTTCGGGGATGATGAGGTCGTCCCTGGGGGGGTCTTGGTGGCTCCTTTGGCCGATTCAAGCGTCTTCAAGTTGGCAAAACGCGACAACTCGGAATCAACGCGGCAATACCATTCGAGCTTCAATGGTTTTGGCAATGTCGGGTCTTCTTGGGGTTCCCATTTGGGGCTTTCTTGGGGCGTTTTCGGGGCAGCCTGGCCCGTCTAGAGTCCATATTGGGCCGCCTCGGGGCGTTGATGGGTTGATGGGGGGCCCCTCTCTGGCCATGCTGCCGCCCTCTCGGGCCACCCTCGGCCCGTTTTGGGGCTGTCTGGCCTCGCGAAAAGCCACGCGGCGATCCCAGGGAGTCTGCGGAGCGCCCCGCCCCCGGGGCCTCCTGGCTATTCAAGGAGCGCGGTGAACATGCAACACAGGGAGTTCGAAGGGACTTGCAGAGACTTTAATTCGTGCTGCGGGGCACGGTGGCGGATTACATGTTCTGGGACCCGTCCGGCGACAATCACGTGTGGGCGCCTGTTCAGGCGGGATCTTTGCTTCAAAACTTGGGGCGAGCGTTGCCCGTCCCAAGTTGCTCACACGTTGTGGACATATGCCCAGGCCCGACCTGATCTTTCGAGGTCCGAGCTTGGCGCCCCCGTCCGCACTTTTGAGAGACCCCCTTCGTACTTTTGAGAAATGTGCTCAAAAGTTGGTTTCGCCTGATACATCCGCACTTCATACTTTTGAGCGACCACCTTCGTTCTTTTGAGCGACCCCCTCCGTACTTTTGAGAAATCCGCTCAAAAGTTGGTTTCGCTTGAGACATCAACGATTGTTACTTTCGAGAGGACGTCCTCACGAGTAAAGCTTGGTACTTTTGAGCAAGGACCCCCCCCCCGCCCCTCGCACACAGGAGGCGCCAAGGTGGGGAAGGCCCGTGCGCTGCAGTGCCACTGGATGGCTAGGGCATCTCTTGGCGCGGAGCTGGGGCGCGACAGTGGGGGCGACCCACTGATGCATTTGTCTTGCCTTCGTCGTGGGTGCCCCATGCCGTATAGGAATTCCAGTGGAGAAAGCCCGCGGCGGCGCCCCCGGGCCTCGGCGGCGGGCCCGACGGGGAGCCCGGGGCGCCTCCGGGTCACCTGCAGGGAGGCGGCTCTGGACCGTCTCCGGGTCGCTCGGAGGCGGCTCGGGGGCGCCTCCGGGTCACCCGGAGGCAGCTCTGGACCGCCTCCGGGTCACTCGGAGGCGGCTCGGGGGCGCCTCCGGGTCACCCGGAGGCAGCTCTGGACCGCCTCCCAGTCGCCCGGAGGCGGCTCTGAGGCGCCCCCGGGCCTCGGCGGCGGGCCCGACGGGGAGCCCGGGGCGCCTCCGGGTCACCTGGAGGCGGCTCTGGACCGTCTCCGGGTCACTCGGAGGCGGCTCGGGGGCGCCTCCGGGTCACCCGGAGGCAGCTTTGGACCGCTTCCAAGTCGCCCGGAGGCGGCTCTGAGGCGGCCCCGGCCGAGGCCCAGAATAAAAGTCAAGACAGCGCCGTCTTGACTTTTATTCCGGGGCTCCGCCGGCCTCCCAATTGGCGGCGCCCGGGGAGCCCATCTTGCCGCTCGCCGCTCGCGGACGGGGGGGTACCCTGGGAGGGTTGTCGTCCCCGAATGCCGCAGCCAAGAGAGCCCCAATTGGAGCCCGAGGAAGGCGCGAGATTGAGTTCCAGGATGTGCATCGGCCGTTGCACATCTCCCAGCGGGATGAAGGGGGCCTTCAAATTGGGCCTCTTGGAACCCGACTGGAGCCCTCTTGGAGCTTTCTTGGAGCCCCACAGGGCTCCAAGAACCCCCCAAGAGGGCCCAACACCTTTTCACGTAAAAGAGCCTTGTTCGTGATAAGGTGTTGGGCCCTCATGGGGAGCTCTCGGGGGCCTCTTGGAACTCTCCTTGGGCCCTCTTGGGGCCCTCCTGGAGCCCTCTTGCAGCCCCAGAAGAGTTCTAAGAGGGCCCCCGAAGGGTTCCAAAAGCCCCCCAAGAGGGCCCAACACCTTGTCACGAACAAGGCCCTTCTTCGTGACAAGGTGTCGGGCCCTCTTGGGGGCCTCTTGGAACCCTCCTGGAGCCCTCTCGGGGCTCTCTTAGAGCCCTCTTGGAGCCCCAAAAGGGCTCTAAGAGGGCCCCCACAGGGCTCCAAGGACCCCCCAAGAGGGCCCGACACCTTGTCACAAAAAAGGGCCTTGTTCGTGACAAGGTGTTGGGCCCTCTTGGGGGGCTCTTGGAACCCTCCTGGAGCCCTTTTGGGACTCCACCTGCGCCCCCTTCAGACATCCGTAGTTGTTTTGGCACAAGCTTCTCCAAGGATCGTTCTGGGGGCCTCCCGTGAGCGCCGTGGCCGCGCGGGGAGCCGTTCCGGAGGGGAAATTATGGTGCGAAACACATTGTCACCTTAAGTTGGTGCTTCGCAGACCGTCTTCGGGCCCTGTGGGGGTCCTCTTGGCGCCGCTGTTCGGCCTTTTTTTGGCTTGTCTGGGGGCCTTTCCGGGAGCGCCGTGGCCGCGTGGGGAGCCGTTTCGGACGGGACATGAAGGTAAAAAAAAAGCTCTCGCCTCACTTTACGCCCAGCTCGGTGGCCCCTGAGCCACCAGATCTTGTAGGGCCCCGCCGCGCCCTACAGGATCCGCGGCCTTGTCCTGTAGGGCCCCGCCGCGCCCTACAGGATGCTGCTGCTGAGGCTCGTCTCTGAGGCATGGCCTCACCCCTCGCCAGTTCGGCTAGTGTCCGTCCCGTCGGATGCTAGACCTTGACTGTCCCCATTGTCGCCGTTTTTTGGGTCACCCGATGTTGTTGAGGACGGTGGTGCGTTGATTTTGGCGCTTGATTTAGGTCATCCTGAGGATCCTCCTTGGGGTCTCAATGGGCGTCCTCAGGGCTCTCTTCGAGACTCGGGAGCGTCCGAGGCGGGCTCCCAAAGGCCTTCAAGAGGTGCCGAAACCTGACACAAGTTCGGCGTAAGCCGCTCCCTTGCTGAGGACAGTGGCGCTTTCAATTCGCGTTGATGTTTGGGTCCTTTGGGTGGCCTTCTGTGGGCTCAGGAGGCCCCGTCGGTCCGCGCTCTGTGTCCATGCAGCCCCCCAGGCGGTCTCCGCGGGCCCCCCAAGAGCCCCCATCAATCGATTCAGATTTTACGTACGCAAGCCGTTCCCGTGGTGAGAGCGATGGCGAGTTCAGTTTGCGTTGAACTTTGGGCTTTCTGGGTGTCCATCTTGTGGCTGTTCGAGTGCCTCCTAAATGTCCTGCGCGCCCTACTGAGGCTTACATATAATTTGGATGTGTCGGGATTTCTGCTTGAAGCGTTTGAATTGTTTCCACGCCAGTGCGACGGGGAATTTGAACAGGTTTGGAACGTTGCCCAATAGGTTAAGCGTGAGAAGAAGACGAGGACAACGGAGCCCGGCAGCACCCCCACCATTGCTGAGAGGGAGCACTACAGCAAGGCCATGGAAACTTTCTGGGAGGGGGCGAACGAGCCAGCTAAAAAACGTCAGAGACGATCATACGTGGAGACGCCAAGAATGGCAACGCTCCTTTGGATTCGGGAGACGGACAACGCCATGAGGCACAGCTTGAGGAGGCGTTTATCTTCATTCCAGGTCGATTTGGACCAGGTTAAAGCTCTGATGGATGATAAATCGATGTGCTTCCAGTCCCTTGCAAGGACAGCCCCAATACTTTCTGCTGTGCTGGATCAGGCGCCTTGGCAAGTGACGGGCAGCCATTTTTTAAAGTATAGCAAGATGATTAACCTCGTCACTCTGTGGGACCCTGCAGCCCATCGTATACACAATGATTGGAAGTCCGGGATATCTTGGGCTAAACTGAATACGGCTGTGTACGCAACTACGACGCTATTCAATTTTACGTCTGGCCCTTGCAAGTCCGCAGGGCGTTGGCTTACCAACATACAAGAAACCATATTCTGGCCTGCGCCCTCCGTCGCCGCCGCCCCGGGATCGGGGACCCTTGGGCCCTCTGGATACATCTTGGGTCTCTTGTGCGCCTTCTGCGGGTTCGGGAAGGTCTCTCTTGGGAATCTCGGCGAGGCCCCTGAAGCCTCGAAGGGCCCCGTGGCGACGCCAGGGGGCGCCGCTGCGAGCGTCTCGGGAACGCGTCGGCGGCATCGCGTGCATCTTCGTTTTTTTTTTTGCGTCGACAAGTTCCATTTTTGAGCGGCTTCTGGGGGCCCTCTGGGGTGCTCGTTGGGCTCCTCGCGTTGGTTCGGGGGTCCTTGGCGGCGGAATGGGGAGCTTCCAGAAACGGGTTCGACGCCCGAAACGTTGCGCGAGCGAATACAGTGTAAGTTGAGAGCGCGCCTGGGAGTTCTGAATGGTTTCGTCCGCTTCGGTGGAAGCCAGTGGCCCCGATGAGGCCCCAGGACACCCCGAACGCTGCTCGAGGACGGACCCCTCGAGGCATCGGCAAGCAAGCCGAATGACTGGGACTCGGATTGGCCCTCGGGGGCTCCGAGGCAAGGCGCGCGGGGATCCGCGGGGGCCCTCAGGGGCCCGCGCGCTCGAACGAAAGCAATTGGATGCATGGTGGCTTACAGGGCATGCCAATGTGAACATTGTATGTTTTGGGGCTCCAGAGGGCGCCCCAACCTGTGCCGGGAGCACGGTGGCGGTTTCTGGAGGCGAAGGAACTGTTGGAAGAAAACGACGCCAGTCTTGTGGCCTTGTGGCCCGACATTTGTTTCGAGCGCGGTTGGCGGACAGAGTCCGAGACAAACGTGGAGGCGAGGAAGCAATTCATCAAGGACCTCCCTTTTCTCGATATTGTGCAGAGGCAGGGAGAGACCATCGCTTTGGCGCGCTGGCTCTCATATCCGAAAGGTGAGAAACAACGACGTAAAGGTTGGTCTGAGACACTTTTGTTGTTGTTGCACTGGGGCTTGACCACGGGCGCTGTTTCGAAGGCGTGGCAAGTTTGGAAGACCACAAAGGTGAAGGAGGCGAAGGCGCAACAAGACGTCGAACCGCCTCTGGGGGGCGAGGGGGACTCCGAGAAAACGGCGGCTTGCCCGATCAAGACTTCTTCGGAAAATATGGGTGCCATCTACAAGCGGTGTAAAAATCAATAGTTGACGCTCCGCGTATTCCCGCCAGCCCATCCAGAAACAACGCCCAGGCGAGTTGAGGTGTCTAGGGAAGTGTGGGAGCAAAGATGGGGACAGCCGAACCGAGCCAAGGAGGGATGTCTCCTCCTCCCTACGTCGCTCCCCCTCCCCGCCGCCCGCGCACTTGTCATGTCATCGATGTTGGTTCCTGGGGCTGAGCGCGCGCAGAAAGTGATGCAAACCACAGTGCGAAACGCCAAAATTGAGGGGGGATGAAATTTGCCCAAAGTGGCACATTTCTTCCCCCCTCAATGTTGGCGTTTCGCATTGTATTTTACAGCACTTTCTGCGCGTGCTCAGCCCCAGCAGCCGAGATCGATGACATGACGGGTTGGCGGACGGCGAGGGGAGGAGCGCCTGCCCTTCCTCCTCGAGGACGAGGAAGAGGAGAACGAGGAGGAGGAGCACGAGGAGAAGGAGGAGGAAACGAAGGAGGAGGACGAGGAGGAGGAACAGGGCGAACATAATAGCCAAAAGCATCTTGAATGCCTCTCGGGGTCTCCTCGGATTGATCGTATACGCTTTTTGAAAGAGGGATTTCCTTGGGGATGTGTTGCGGCCCTTTTGGGCCGTCGCGGAGCTTTCTTGGGCCATTGCAGCTCTCTTCGGGTGCATGTCGGAGCCCTTATAGGCTCCAAGAGGGCCCAAGAGCAGCATAACAATTACATAAAAACACATGGTTCTGGATCCTGGGGCATGCCGCTGTTAAGACGGCCCTTAAACGTTTTTTGAAGGCCTCTTGAGGCGTTAGGGGAGCTTCTTGGCAGGCCCAGGTGTATTTTTTGTGCGTTTTGGGTGCCCCGGGGATTCTCTTGGAACCTCTCGGCGTCTTGGGTGCCTCCTGGGAGCCTCCTGGGAGCCTTTTTGGGGGCCTCTTGGGGGCCGCTGGGGTCCTATTGGGGGCCTCTTGGGGGCCTCTTGGGAGCCTCTTGGGGGCCTCTTGGAACCATCTTGGAGGCTTCTTGGGGCCCCTGGGCGCCTCTTGGGGCCACCTTGGAGGAGATCGATCAAAGAAGAGGGGCCCCCTAATTAGCGTCGCCCCCTCGAGCCTCTAAAATCGCCTCTTGGACCCCTCTTGGAGCGCTCTTGGAGCGCTCGGGCGCTCTTGGGGCCGTTTTGGGGCTCTCTTGGGCCCCTCTTGGGGCCCTCTCGGGCCATCTTGGAGCCATCTTGAGGCCTCGGGAGGCCATCGGAAGCGAAACGGCGAGAAAACAAACATCATGTGTTTTCCTTTGGTTGTTGGAAGATGTTGGCTTCTTGGGGCCGCCTTGGCAAGCTCTTTGGCCTCTTGGAGCCGTCTTGGGGCGATCTTGGGGCCTCTGGGAGCATCTTCGAAGCCATCTTGCGGCATCTTAGGCTATCTTGGGCCATATTGGAGCTCATCTTGGGCTCTCGGACGCGCTCTCGGAGCCGTCTTGAGCGAAAAAGTACCGTCTGACATCTCGCGACCGCCCCCGTTCAGGTCCAGAGGAGGGGGTAGGGGGAGAAGTAATCCCCTCCCTGAAGGGGAAGAAGGGGGTTGGAAGAGGAAGCTCCCTAAACCACCTACGCCCAGAGGGCTGGTGGGATTGCACGTATGTTTGGAGCTGGCCGCGAGCCCCGATTTGAAAGAGGCAAGCCGGATAATCGGCATCGTGTCGGAGCCGTTGAGCACCCAGCATGGCCACTGGATGCAGGATCTGAGAACTAAGGCTGGTAGCCGTAAGTTTTTTCTAGATGCCGCCACGTGGGGCCACGTGGGTGAGCTTCACGCGTTGATCGATTGTCTCTTCTGTCCAGAGAAGCTCGAGTGGATGGGGCTCGACATGCATCCCCCGAGCAAGCTCCCTGGAGCCACAGTGCCAGAAGAACGCATCCTCTCCCAGGACATCGCAGCCAACGAGATCTGGACGCTCACCTTTGGCATGCTGAGAGCTCGCGCAACTACCCAAACTTACTATGCAACTGCTTACCCATTGATTTTGGCACGGTCTCTTTGGGATGACCCCATCAAGATCAACGCGTTCTTGTCGCAAACAAAGACTGTATGTGAAATGTTCAAGAAGGCCGAATCACACCCAAACGCGTTCGTGCAGCAGCTTGTGCGCCGGAGCCAGATGATGGAACCCATTATGAGGGTGACTTCTGTGATTCTGCTGCACGGCAACTTCGGACAGTATGCTGTGGATTCGTTAGTGGCGTATTGGAAACAGGCATTCGAGGGCATAGCCGCGTCTAAGCCAATGGAAGACAACAACAGGGCTGCTAGATCAGAGGAAACCCGAGCTCAAGAATCGAAAATGATGACTCGGGTTCGGAGGTCCTTGGTGCCAGTCAAATCGGATATCGGTGCAACGTGGGATCGACCTGTCCCGTCGTCCACACAAGCATCTTTGCCAACTCCGGAGAAGCTCCGAGAGGATTTATAGAAAACGCCTGCGGCGAAACACTGCCGCCCTCTGCCGCGTGCAAGTGCCAATGCAACCAAACGTTCGGCCAGAGCTCGGCCAAGCTACTGGACGACGTGCCCCCCAAACCATACCCTTTCGGGGGACACTTGGGGGGGAAAGGAAAACGATCAGGAGAAGGAGGAACATGGGGAGTAGAACGAGGAGGGGGGAGGAGGCATGATGGGGCCATCTTGGAGCCTCCTGATGCCTTTTGGCGGCCTCTGGGGCCACAGTGGGATCGTGTCGGAGCCATATTGGGCCGTATTGGATTTATATCGAGGCCATTCTGGCCGTCTCGGAGGGCATGTTGGACCATGTTGAAAGCCATTCAGGGCCATCCTGGCCGCCTTGGAGGCCTCCTCGGCCGTCTGGGAGTCCACCTTGGGCCATTCTAGCCGTCTTGGAGGCCATTTCGGGCCGTATTGGGGGAATCTTTGGAGCTCTTCAGGGGGCGTGTTGGGCCATCGTGGAGCCATTATGGAGGTCAGCTGGGCCGTGTGAGGTTGTCGGAAACCTGAGATGGCGACAGCGCTAAGCTCCTTGAGTGCACACTTACAATTAATGCTACTGGGCCTCGCGAAGGCTTCCTGGGGAATCTCGTGGATCACCCTGGAGCGGCCCAGGGACCTTTAATATAGTCTTCAGCCCATATTGGGCCGCCGTGGGTCCATGCTGGGCCGCCGAGGAAACATTCATGGGCCATTAGGGGCTCGCTTGGAGGGGGCTTGGACAGCTCGGGGGCGTCTTGGGGCCCGCCTTAGAGGAATACTGGGCCGTCCCAGCCGTCTCGGAGTCAATGTTTGATCGTCCTGGGATTGTCTCGGGGCCATTGTGTAGGCCCACTGGGCCGTCCTCGGGCCATCGTGGAGGCTTTCGGGGGGCGCGCTTGGGGTCCCCAGGGGCGTCTTGGGGGCCCCTCGGGCCGTCTTGAAGCCGCCCTGCGCCGTCTCGGGGCGCTCGTTGGCCGAGCGTTGTTTTTTTTTAGACCGCCACAGGGCTCTGTTAAGGCCCTCGTGGCCCGTTCGAGGTCTCTGTGGCATCGGGGGGGGGGGGGGCCGCGCGGCGATCCCCGGGGAGGCATGGGGCCCCCCTTGCTCCTGGGGCCGCTGGGCACCCCCAACAGTTCTCCGCATGCTCGTTGCAAAGACCTCCGAGGGACCTGAGGACACCTCAACTCGTGCATCGGGGCACGGTGGCGGATTTCGCGCTGGGGAGGTCCAGATAAAGAGCGAGGGCATTCCATACAATGATGTTTTGAAAGACCATACCTGGCCCACGGTGACTGCCCACGAGCTCTTCAGGTTCTCTTCCGAACAGTCACTCATATCGTACATGGTGCGCACCGATTCCATTTCGGTTGCAGACTACTTTTGGTATGCTTCTATCTTCCCCGAAGGGGAGGTCGTGCACAACTTGTTGACTGATTCCTTCTCTTTGGTACTTCGTGTTGCGGAAGATTCGGGGGTGCTTATGTGGCCGTGTGAGCTCACATCAGACGAATACATTTACCTTAACAGGCCGACGTTCCTCGAATGGACTCACGTCGACGACTTGAAGGAATGGAACATAGTGAACACTACGATCGTAAGCCCCCTGAGGTTGATGACGTCCCACGAAGGCGCGAAGCTCGAGAACCCCATCGGCTGCGTCATCAGACGCAGCTCGGCCGATGACTCCAGAATGCTCGCTTGGCATGCCCAGCGAGCTTTCGCCCACCTGCCACAAAAAACAGTGAAGCGGCTAGTTGAGGAGTACGGCTTGAAAGCGAACGCTGAGCTCGGCAAACTCGGCCTGGAATGCCAGGAAGAAGCCGAGATCATGGCGCTCATGATGAAGGTGACTGAGGGCATGGATGCAAACCAGTGCGAGTTGGCATTCTCGAAAAGGCGGAAGATTCTTTCTGGGGAGGACACTTCGGCGCTGCAGCCGATCATCGATGACCCTGAGATGCTCGAGCTTGTCGTGCCCACTAACGAGGCTAACAAATGGAAGTCGTGGGTGGCTTCGGAGGAGGGAAAACGAACCCAGCTCTCGGCCTCTGCGAAAGCTACCAAAACCATGCGAGATAAACTTTTTCCGGCCGCCAAGAAAGCCGCGGCCAAGGCCAAGGGCAAGGCGCAAGGCCCCAAGCTGTCCGTGGCTGCACGTAAGCATCGGAGGGAGCAAATCGCAGCAGGGGACTTCCAGGCCGTTGAGTTCTTCAGGCCCCCCATGCTGCGGATCACGGTAGAGGACGGACTTGGGCCCCGCATTGTGCGAGCGAGGGGCGGTTGGCATTCCTCCCCGCCTCCCCGTCCGCGCATTGCATTGCGCCTTCGGTGCGTAATCAACCGATTGTAAGTTATATGCCCAATGCTCTTCCGAAACAACTTTCAGGCCGAGGTTGTGGGGGGGGGGCAGGGGGATTGCCAGCCCGTGATTCGCTCGCTCGGCCGGGGCCCTAACAGGAGAAGGGCACGTGCCTGCGCGTCTGGGATGGACATACTCGTTTGAGGTCGTTTTCCTGGTTCATGCGGGGCAAACCATTGGCAATTTCTGAGACTCTCGCTTTTGCTTGGGATTACGCCAAATGCACTTATGAAGCTGAGAACCCTTTTCCAAAAGATGCGTTCTGAGCTCGGCAGGTTGGCCGTGTAGGATCCCGCCAGGGCGGGGCGCAGTAGAAATGTGACCACCTCCCTTCCTCTCCAGTCCTCTCCCCTTCCATGCCCCATGCAGGGGCCGCTGGGGAAGCCGATCGAACTGCCAAGGGCGCTCCTAGGGACTTCCGTGGAACGCATGGGCGCCCCACTAACATGTCATGAAGCCGTCCGCATTAGGAGCACCAGGGAGGCGCACATATAGCAACAGTATCGGCGTTTGATGATATTTTCCTGTCGGCAAGGTTCCGCATAATCACTCGGCATTTTCGTAGTGCCCCTCGCTATCACTTACAACCTTTGGGGGGGCTTTCAAGGCCACGGCGGCGTCGCCGTTAGCCACGTGGGGCCTTGTTGGAATTCTTCGTCATCTTGGACATGCCATTTGCTGTTTGCAGCGGAGCGTCGCCTCCCTAAGTCCTCCAAGGGGCCCGCCCAGAACGAATCCTCAGGATGCCGCGAGGCTTCTCGGGGGGCCCTTTGAACACTTCAATCGGGGGGTGTGTCGCGAGCCCGGGGCTCCTCAGAAACTTGGAGGGGGGTCTTTCTACGCCGTCTGAGCGGCTGAGAACCAGCGCCCTGGGCGTTGACCGCTGGCCCGCGAGGGCGACTGGGCAGGGCAGCCTCCCAGCCGGGGCTTCGCATTTTCCACTTGCTCCCCCATCCCCCCCCCCTCCCCTTTCACTCCCTCCTTCCCTCCTTCCCGCCACCGCCTCCCCGCGCTCTGCTCATTTCTCCAGATTTCCTCTCTCCATCCCCTCCCTCCCTCCGGCCCCTCTCCCTCCCCTCGGCTGTCCTCGTTTCCTTCCCTCCCCTCCCTCCCCCTCCCCCTCTTCGGCATTATCCTCCCCCGTCCCTCTCGCCCGCCCCTCCCCCCCCCTTCCGCGCACTCTTTCTCGCGGCAGTTTCGGGCCCAGTCGGAACAGGGCTAAGCCAGTCATGTTCGGAAGGCGACGGGGGTGGATTCGGCGTCGGGAGAGAACTAGCAGGCGGACGTGCAACTGAACGCCGGGGTCTCAGAATTTCTGAGTGGACGCCAACGTGTCGGACATTCCTGCCCCTCCCCCACCTCCCCCTCCGCTCCATTCGGGCGCTCCCCTTCCCACTCCCGCACGGCGCTTCCCTTGTCGTCCCCCCTCCCCGCCACCCCTTCCCCGCTCCCCCCCCGCCCCCTCCATCCTTTCCGTTGCCCTTTTGGCTCAAGCCTCCTCCCGTCGCGGCGGGTGCCCGTATTCTTCTTGCCTTTTGTTTAAAAGGTGTCGCTTGCACTTCGTTTGAAAGGCGTCGAAGGCAACGGCGTGCGCAGATTTCTTCGCGCGCGCCCTGACCTCACAATTGCATCGTTTCGAGGGGCTTCGATCTGACAGGCGGTCGCTGTTCTGGCAGATAGTTGGCATGCTGAATGCATTGCGTGTTTCCTTCAGTGCGCTGGCGCACGGAAGATCGCGGAAAACTGCGGCAATTTAGCAGGGTCGGAACAATCCCTGCTAGGGGTGCGCGGGGGCGGGGTGACACAGGTTCGCAGTGCCCTCTGTTGGGCGTATTGGGAGGATATTGCTGCGTTTCTGGGCTGACGGGGCCTCGCCGCGCATGCGCTCAGACGTGCGCGCCCCGTTCGGGGTGGCCCCCGACCGCGCGGTGATCCGAGAAGCCGAGACCGGAGCCTGGAAGCAACATGCCATGGGGGACATCTCAGGATGCGCGCGCACCGATGGAGGGGAGTGGGCCGCCAGACAGCAATTGAAACCTTTGCCGCGCAACCCGCTGGCATGTCAATGCGCCCAAACGTGTCGACGACCAGGTGGCCAATGCGACGAGTATTAATGACGCACGCCCGCCCCCATGCCCAGAGAAATCATCCGGGGACTGTCGCTGTCATCTTGCTTGAGTGCTCACGTGTTAATGAAATGAGCGGGAGGGCCACCTGTCGAAGGTTTCGCTACATTGGCCGCGGCGGGCCAGGGCGGCGTTCGACGGCGCCGAATATCGATCAGTTGCCCGCGCTGGTGCTGCGCAGGCATGCGGGCAAACAGACTGCGAGCGCGAGAGTCGCATGTGAACGTCGCCCTTGACCTGATGCACGTGGCCTCGCTACGGCGCGCGCGCCGCGGAGGCCTTGGAAACCGCCGTAGCGAAGCGAATGCAACCTTTCCGCTGGCGCTTTCAGCGGGCCCATGTGTTGCATACCTAAAAGTACACTCAAAAGTACACTCACAAGACCCATTCGCGCATAGGACCGTTTCCGCTTTCCCCTATAGGAGGGGGGGAGGGGAGGCGAGGTTGGCGGTGCTGGGCTCGGGCCGGCTTTGGGTCTTCTCGGCTTCGGGGAGCTTTGTTTCGGGCCCAGGGAGATTGTGAAACACGGATTTGGGGTGAAAGTTC